AAGGGCTGAGATTACAGGCCTAACGGAGGCTGGGTCTAGAAGAAAACACTGAGGACCAGGATTTCTTTTTTTTTTTTTTTTTTGAGGCGGGGTCTGCCTCTGTTGCCCAGGCTGGAATGCAGTGGCACGATCTTGGCTCACAGCAACCTCCAACTCCCAGGTTCAAGCAATTGTCATGCCTCAGCCTCCTGAGTAGCTGGGATTACAGGCACCCGCCACCATACCCGACTAACTTACATGTTTTTAGTAGAGACGCAGTTTCGCCATCTTGCCCAGGCTGGACTCAAACTCCCAGGCTCAAACAATCCATCCTCCTCGGCCTCCCAGAGTGCTGGGATTACCGTCATGAGCCCCTGTGCCCGGCTAATTTTATTTTTTGATAGAGCTAGGGTTTCGCTATGTTGCCCAGGCTGGTCTCGAACTCCTGGCCTCAAGTTATTCTCCCATCTCGGGTCTCTCAAATTGCTGGGATTGCAGGCATGAGCCACTGCACCTGGCCACATTTGGAATTTTTTTTGCGGGGGCATTTTGGGTTGTCACAAGCCTGCCCCCGTTTTAGGGTGGGGAGTCGGGGTGACCAACCCAACAGCCTGCAGTGCTGGGACGGCCCCCACCTCCCAGCCAGGAATCTCATCACTCAGTAGCCAAAGGCTGGACACGACCGAGGTTTTCCGTAAGATCCAAGGGGAGGCTAGGTTTCCACCCCTCTGAATTTCCACCCCAGCCCCGGCTGACCCCCTGACCTCGGCTCAACCCCTGCTCTACAAAAAGCCTCCTCTGGCCTGGCTGGAGCCCCCCTTTCTGGCTGTGGAGAGGAGCAGGGATGGGGAAGGTGGGTGGGGTTCCCAGTCTGTCCACAAGGGGGCGCCAAAACCTCGCTGCAGAGGGTGGTGGGGGCCACCGAAGTTGGGAGGGGGACGTGGAAGGGGACTGGGACCCCCCATCCTCGGTGTCCTCGGTGCCTGTCACCAGGAAGGCGTGGGGCCGTGTATCTGTGTGCCTGCTGCCCTGTTAATGCACCTTACCTCGCTTCTTTGTGCCTCAGTTTCCCCATTTGCCAAAAAGGATCATCCCTGCGTTGTGGTCTTGTGGGTAAGACGGAAGCAGCCCATGGGGCAAAGAGCTTTTCTGGCTCAACCTGGGGTTTTGGAGTGGGGGACAGAATGGAGGGCCCCATCTCAGCTCCCCAAGAAATAGTCTCTCACACTCTTGGTTTTTTTGAGACAGGGTCTTGCTCTGTCGCCCAGGCTGGAGTGCAGTGGCGCGATCTTGGCTTACTGTAGCCTCTACCTACCGGGCTCGAGGGATGTTCCCACCTCCACCTCCCAAGTAGCCGGGACTACAGGAATGCACTCCCATGCCTGGCTAATTTTTTTTTTTTTTTTTTTTGAGTTAGGGTCTTGCTCCATTGCCCATGCTGGAGTGCAGTGGTGCAATCTCCACCTCCCAGGTTCAAGCAATTCTCCTGCTTCAGCTTCCTGAGTAGCTGGGATTACAGGCGCCCACCACCACACCCGGCTAATTTTTGTATTTTTAGTAGAGACAGGGTTTCACCATGTTGTCCGGGCTGGTCTCAAACTCCTGACCTCAAGTGATCTGCCTGCCTCTCAAAGCGCTGGGATTGCAGGCATGAGCTACCACACCTGTCCCCTCTCACATTTTTTTTTTTTTTTTTTTTGAGTCTCACTCTGTTTCCTAGGCTGGAGTGCAGTGGTGAGATACTGGCTCACTGCAGCCTCTGCCTCCTGCGCTCAAGCGATTCTTGTGCCTCTGCCTCCTGAGTAGCTGGGATTACAGGCACGTGCCACCACGCCTGGCTAATTTTTGTATTTTTAGTAGAGATAGGGTTTCACCAAGTTGCCAGGCTGTTCTCGAACTCCTGGAATCAAGGGATCCATATGCCTTGGCCTCCCAAAGTGCTGGGACTGCAGGCGTGAGCCACCGCACCCAGCCCCGCTCACACTCCTGATTCTCCCAGGCCCCAGCCTCCCTCCCTCTCTGACCTCAATGTGGGAGGGGCTCCCGGGCTGGAGGGAACAGAGCTGGATACGGTCATGCCCATGAGTGGTCAGGGCTGGGTCAGGAGGGATCGGGGATAGAAGCTCTGCTGGGGCAGGTGGGGAGGGCTTCCTGGAGGAGGGCGTGTTGGAACCATGTTGGGGCCCATCCTTCTGCCCCCAGCCCTCCATGGCTCCCACCTCCTTCAGAGGAAAAGTCAAGTTTTCCCTGTGGCCCACAAGGCCCTGCGTGACCTGCCCCGTCCCCCCACCCCCCAACCTCCAGTTGTCCCTCCATCCCTCTCCTCACTCTGCTCCAGCTACACGGGCCTCCTCACTGTTCCTCCAATGAAGCAGGCATGGTCCCGCCTTGGGGCCTTTGCAGGGGCTGTGACTTCTGCCAGAATTTGAGGACGCTCCTTCCCTCCCTCCCTCCGGGCCTCTGTCTAGATGGGACCACCCCCCACCCTTCCTCTGCTCAATGGCCTACTCATCACTTACCTCCTCTGACATCTTTTACTTCTATTTTATTGATTGATTGGAGACAGGGTCTTGCTCTGTTGCACTCCAGGCTGGACAGCAGTGGTGCAATCACAGCTCACTGCAGCGTCAACCTCCAGGGATCAAACAATCCTCCCACCTCAGCCTCCTGAGACGACAGGTGTGTCACCACGCCCAGCTAACTTTTTAAGTTTATTTGTAGAGATGGGGTCTCACTATGTTGCCCAGGCTGGTCCTGAACTCCTTGACTCAAGCAATCCTCCTGCCTTGGCCTCCCAAATCGCTGGGATTACAGGTGTGAGTCGCTGCACCCGGCCACTTGTTTGTTGTTTATTGTTCTTCCTGCCCTGGAGGAAGCTGTAGGTTCCAAGAGGAGACCTGATTTTCAGTGTTTTGTTCACTGCTGGGTCTCAGTGCTTGTACTCAGGAAGTCTTTGCTCCGTGACTGGGAGTTTGCCAGGTGGCAAGAGAAGGCATTTTGTGCGTTTATTGAGCACCGACTGTGTGCCAGGCTTGTACGACTCCAAGGCGTAAGGGAGGGGGCGGAATCCCCTGTGCCTGACATGGAGTGGGTGCCCCATAGATGCCTCATGGAATTCACCGATAGCTCTGAGACTGCTGCGGGAGGGAACCAGGCTGGGGAAAGATGGGAAGGCTTCCTCGCAGAGGAGGACACCCGTGTGAAAAGGTCTGCACAGATGGGGAGGCAGGAATGAGCAAAGGCCCAGGGGTATGTGAAACAGCCCATCCTACAAAGGCGAAGAGGTTACCAGCCACCAGGGGCGTTGCTGGGACAGGTCCGGCGTCAGAAGCTTGTTCAAAGCCACCATCTAAAGTGGGTCTCCCCACCCCCGGGCACTGTGGAGATGGGTGCTGGATCACTCTCTGGGGTGGGGCCGTCCTGGGCACTGCAGGGTGCTGAGCGGCGTCCCTGGCCTCCACCCACTCCATGGCAGGAGCATGCCCCAGTCATGACAACCACAGATGTCTCAGACATCACCCAGTGTCCTCTGGGGGGCAGGATCGCCCTTGGGTGAGACTCCCTGGGTTAGGGGATTTCATGGACCCCCCAGTAGACTGCGTCCCATGATCCTCCACCCTGCTGAGGTCCTAAGAGGCTGCACACATTGGAATCCACACCCTGAGGGGGGAGCTGGGGGTCTCTCTGGTCTCTGTCATCCACCCCATTGGGAGCTTACCCTGGTGTCTACCATGAGCAGGGAGCAAATCTGATTTTTTTTTTTTTTTTTTGAGACGGCGTCTCGCTCTGTCGCCCGGGCTGGACTGCAGTGGCCGGATCTCAGCTCACTGCGAGCTCCGCCTCCCGGGTTTACGCCATTCTCCTGCCTCAGCCTCCCGAGTAGATGGGACTACAGGCGCCCGCCACCTCGCCCGGCTAGTTTTTTTGTATTTTTTAGTAGAGACGGGGTTTCACGGTGTTAGCCAGGATGGTCTCGATCTCCTGACCTCGTGATCCGCCCGTCTCGGCCCCCCAAAGTGCTGGGATTACAGGCTTGAGCCACTGCGCCCGGCCGCAAATCTGATTTTTTTTATTTCCTCCAAATAATCAAAGCAGGTCTCTACCCACCAGGCACTGTGGACATCTTGTGTGGATGAATCTTGGTCCTGGGCACTGCAGAATGCTGAGCAGTGTCTCTGGCCTCCACCGACTCTATGCCTTGAGCATCCCCCAGTCATGGCAACCACAAATGTCCCCAGACATTGTCTAATGCCCCCGGGGGACACTTGATCTGAAGTCTTCAGAATCCCAGCCTGCCCATCCACAGGGTTCCGGGTCCCCCCACCAGCTCCCTGCAGCCTCTGCCCCTCACTTTTCCAAAGGACACACAGCAACCCACACGGGACACGGAAAAGAGGACCCGGGACAGCCAGAAAGAGTCGAAGCATAGCTTGTTTAATTTTTATACATTTTTTTCTTTTTTCTTTTTTTTTGTCTTTTATTGAATCTTTTATGGAATCCCCCTTTTTTCATTTTTTTTTTTTTTTTTTTTTTTTTAAACTTTTTTGGAAACCCCCTTTTTTTTTTTTTTTTTTTTTTTTTTTTTTGCATAGGGAACAAATAAACAAAATAATGACAGCCAGAGTCACTTTCTGTAAATGGTACTTAGGTAGGCGCGTCCGCGAAAACCAAAAGGGCTGCATAATATACAAGGTTATGATTGGAGTATGATGTGAGGGGTGGGGCGGGGTGGGGAGAGCCGGCGGGTCTGCCCAGGTGTCCCCTTGTCCCCCTCCTGTCCTCGCCGTCGGGAGGAGTAGCAGGAGGTGGGGAGGGTGGGGGACCCAGCCGGAACCTTCTCCGGGTTGGGTTCATGAGCATTTTTGTGGATGTGTACGTGTGTGTTATCCGGTGTGCGGTAAGCAGAAAGCTAGAAGGAGAGTAAACTATCCTGGTAATATCAGTAAAATACAAAATGGAAACAACAAAAAAAAAAATCTCAAAGGGAAAAGGAAAGGAAAAGCAACACCACCCAAAGAGTAAGGAGGGTTTAAAAAAAGAAAGAAAGAAAAAAAAATGAAAAAAAAAAAAAACCCAAAGGAAAATGTTTTGTTCCTCCCTCCTTCCTGCTGCCCTCCGACCCCCCACTGTATGCCCTGCCCCATCCTGTCCCCCCGGAGCCTTTGCTTGTTCCTTCTCTGTGTGGGGATGCTCGGGGCCAGGTGGGTAGGAAGTTAGGGGCACAGGCTGGGACTCCTGAACTTGAGGGGGGCTTTGGTTTTGGGGGGGCCTGGCTGGGACTCAAGATGAGAGGATGTGGTGTGGATGCAGTTGAGGGGCCGGGGCAGCCCGTGTCCCCTTTTCAGAGGGCTCTCTTCCCGCCAGGAGATGTGCGTGGACGGCTGGGAGGTGGTGGCTTGGGGGTGCATGACTTCCTTCCTCTCTGGGGCCCTTATTCCTGTTGGATCCCCTTCCTCCTTCCTGTCTCAGGTGTGAGCAAAGCCTTGGGGAGGGGGCTGCCAGGGACTCGGGGCGGGGGCGGCAGGAGAATCCCAAAGCTACACCAGTAGACATGTGAGGCACTGCTGGGGAAAAGTCTGTTTTGGTATCACTGGCAACAAGTCCTGCTGGTGGTGCTTTGGGTCCGCCTCCTCCCCTCGCCCTGTGGGGAGGTCAAGGGTGGTGGACTGACCCCACACTCTGTACCACTGAGCGACGGATGGGCAGTGGTGTCGGTTCGGAGGTGAGACTCTCAGGAAGTGTCTGATGGGGCAGAAACGGGGAAAGATGGGAGGATGCCGAGGAAGCTGGATTGACAGACGTATGTCCCAGCGCCCTCCGAAGAGAAAGTAAAATCCGGGGTCTCAGAGAGAGAATCCAGACCAAGATAAAAGGTAGCCACTGTATACTCTGTATTATGAGAAACACATTCCAAAATTATATATATGTATAGTAGAGCCCTACACTGGAGGTCGAAGTACCATCGGGGAAGTCAGGGTGTAGAGGGGGCCTGCTTGCTGTCTCTTCTGGAGGGCTGGACAGTTGCTCCCGGCTCCAGGACCTCTCTTGCAAGGGACAGTGGGATGCAGCCAAGTCTGTCTGTGCCTGGGATGCTGCTGTCTCTGAAGGTCCTGGGGCACGGAAGGTGGAATTGCCTGCTGCCTGGGGACCTGCAGGGGGACCCAGGTCTGGCCCCTAAGCGGATCTCCCAACAGGGTCCCCTTTGGCATTCCTTTGCGATCTGATTGTCTAGCCCAGGGTGGGGCTTTGGGGTCAGAACCTGGGTTCCAGACCTGGGCATGAAGGACTCCAGATCCCTCTCTCCCCAGACAAATAGGGCTGGGTCTTCCTACTCCTCCATGCCCCATCTCCACCCGGGTCAGGGTCAGGTGCCCCCACGGAATGGGGACAATTTGCATATATTTGGGAGGCCTCCCTATTCTTTCCCACAGAATGGGCAGACCCCAGAGTGAGACTGGGGGGGCCTGGCATGGGTGTGGTGTCCATAGCAGGGGTGGGTGATCGGGGCTTTGGGAGGGGGGTGGGACAAGGTCTGAGAAGATGTCAGTTTCATACATGTGAAAAGAAAAACAAACCCCAAACCAACACTCTCTCTTCCACCCAGGGATGACAGCACCCCCTTCTGTGAACCCAAACTGCAGAGGTGTGCATGGAATCCCGGTTCGTGGTGTTTTTGCCTCATTCTGTCTGCAGCAAGGTGCCTGGGAATTTTGCCCTACAGGGACCCTATATCTTTTCCAAGAAATGGGGGGAGGCGGGGAGAACTGAACCAACCACAACATGCTGCCCCGGCATGGGCTTCTGCCTGCTATACTCGGCCAAGGTGCCAAGTGAGCCCAGGAGGCAAGCTCGGGGCGAGAAAGGTGGCGCCCAGCCCAGGACTCAGGGCCCCCAGATGTGGGCTGCACAGGGGCTCGATGGTCCCGATAGTCATGGTGCCACCCATTCCCTTTGCCACCGGTTGCTCCCAGTTCCCTGGCAAGACAGATTTGCTCAGGAGGGGGGCAGGAAGAAAAAAAAAAAAAAAGCCAGAAATCAGCTACATGGATGCTGTGCGCAGCCAGTCTGCGCTCTCTGGCCAATGGATAGTACTTAAGGGCAAAGTCGTGGCCAGCTGTGGTGGTCTGGGCTCTCCCTCTGTGTCACCTGGGGAGATCGCTGAGGTGACTTTTTGGAAGAAAACATGGGATGAGTGATGGTGGCTGTGGAGACCACCCGAAACCCCAGGGTCGGGGGCCATGGTGAATGAACGGGACCATCTGCGTGGGTCCCTACACGAGATGCTTGGAGGGCCCGGGAGGGGCCGGAGGTGGTTAGGGCTGCAGGAATGGCCTAAGGTTGGAGAATCCCAGCCCTGGGTCCTCCCTGCCTGGCTGCCCCACTAACCATCTGGCTATTGTCTTATCTTTGGTCAAGTAAAAAGCAAAGGAAGCTGGAGTTAAAAACCAAAAGAAAAGAAAAAGAAAGAACACGAGAAAATAAAATCAAGGACAAGACAACAGCATGGTCAGCCACCGGACCACGGCCTGTGACTCGGTGCTGCCTGGCTGTCCCTGCGCCCTGCCGGACCCTCGGCTGGGCCTCCAATGGCTAAGTCAGGCCCGTGGGTAGACACACAGACAGACAGACAGATATTGCATATATCAGGTTTTGTTTCTGTTTGTTTCATACCGGATACCCTTCATATTCACAGCTGGAAGACAGAGACAGGGGATGGGGGACAAAGGAGAGAGTGGGAGAGAATGCCACCTGGGGTGGTCTCTGGATAGGGGAAAAGAGGTCCTTTGGCAAGAAGGGTGGGGGTGCACAGGGCAGGGGAGAGGGGGTGCCTCTGAGGTGGGTGTGAGAACAGCATTTGACCCTGAGCCAGGGGTATGCCAGCCTGCATGAAAAGTGAGGAGTGGGGAGTCTGGCTGCAGGTGGGGTAGCCACCCCACGGTTGGGGGGACAACCTGCAGTGGGTCAGTGAATGGTGTCTGGGGGCCGGCCCATGGCCCAGGGACCAATCAGAGAGGAGAGCCCTTTCCCAGGGCCAAGGTGGGCCCTGGAGGTCTGTCCTCTGGGCAGGGGTTCAGAAATGACCCCTCTGAGTACCCGAGAGCAGGGTTGGGGGTGGTAGAGGCTGAGCACCAGGGGGCACCCCCTGAATACAGCAGGAGGGGAGACAGGACCAAGGACAGCCAGGGACTGGGTAGACCTGGGGGCAATTGTTTTCAGTGGCTTGATTTTTAGTGTGGATTTTCTTCTTTTTTTTTTTTTTAGATTCTCACTTTCTTATTTTTTATTTATTTTTTTTACAAATAGAAATACATCCCTTTTCAATTTTTATTTTTTATTTCATGTCACTGTTTTGTCTTTTTTTTTTTTTTAAACTACACGAGCAGAACATGCAGCTATGTGTGTGCGCTGATATTGTTTAAAGGTAATACTTATTCTCGGAAGGCAAGGCACATCTTGTGGTAGAAAATTTCGTGCAAATTAGGAAACATGGAATTTTTTTAAGGTTTTTTTTTTGTATCTTTTTTTTTTTTTTTAAAGAGGAAGTGGGGGGCAGAGGGGGGGCGAGGGGGAGGGAGATAGAGCCAGGTATAATCTGCCATGCATGTGTGTCAGCGCCGCCAGCTGACCTCGGGAGCCAGGTCGCAGGAGTCCTTGACTAAGCACCATGCAAAGTTAGGTAAAGAGTTGGTTCTCGTCGCGCCCTGACCCTCGGGAGCCCGGCTGGCCCCCCTCCCCAACCCCACGACCCCCACCCTGGCTGAGAAGCTTCCGGACACCCCAATGGCACAGCCCTACCACCCCCTCCCCTGCCCGCCCTCCTGGAGAGCGGCCCACGCTTTGGTCCCCAAGGGCCACCGGGGGGCGGGGCCCTGAGGACAGACAGACGGACGGACGGACCAAGGGCTCGAGGCCAGAGGATGGCGAACCTCTCTTAGGGGGTGATGGGGAAGGGTCCTGGGTCTTTCTCTTCAGGAGCGAGCGGGTTCGCCAAGCTCCTGGGGCTAGTTTGGGAGGAGAGTCTGGATTTCGGGGGCAGGGGGGTGAGGCTAGGAGCAGGTGAGACCCGGAGACCTGCCCTGGCTTTGGCCTGGGTGCGGGGAGGGGGCCGTGGTGGGGGGAGATTCTCCCTAGGCATGGAGGTCAGTTGGGGCTGGGCTGGGTAAGCCGGGGAGGGGGCCTTGTGTTTTGAGCTCGGTGGCCCTAAAACACCTAACACCCCCTCCCAGGCCTCCCCTAAAGATGGCGATCCCGGGGTCGGGGTGGAGGTGTGGATGGGGCCAGGGAGCCGGGGTGGGGGGCACCTGGCGTCCCCAGCTTAGTGTTTTTGGAGCGGCTCAACGGAAAAACGCTTAGCAGATGGGAGGCCCCCTGCACGGCCGCGAGGGGGCCCCGAGGTGCGACGCCGAACCCCCCCCAGAACCCTCCCCGTCCCGAGCGGGGACCGCTGGCGTCGGCCTCCTCTCTCCTCCGGGGGCCCAGCCGTTATGCACGTCTCCCGGCTGGGCCCCGCTTTGGGGGGCGATGAAAGTGCAAACGGCAGTCCCCCTTCGCTGGGAGGCACCAGGGAGGGGGGTCGCTCCAGAATGTAAGGCACTGGCAGCGGAGGCGTGGGGGGCGCACCGGCTTCCCCAGAGCCCATCCCCGCGCCCCGGCAGGGCAGGATGCTTGGGAGGTGACGCCCAGCTCTGCCCCTTGGGCCACGGAGGGGCCCCATCTCTCTAGCTCTGGGGGGGGGCACGGCGATGAGGGGTGACTGGAGGGGCTGGTGGAGGGGCTGGAGGGGAGGGGGAGGAGGCCCGTGGCCATTCCGTGTCCCAGCTGGACAAAGAGGGGGGGGCGGGTGGTGGGAATCAGGCACTTAAACCACTCGCTCTCACCTCCCACCGCCAGGGGCTGATGGGGGGGCTCCAGACGGGCACCCCCAACTCGGGGAGCTCTGGATGTCCCGGCTCCCCCATCCGCTTCTTCGGAAAGTGCATTTCTTACAGTGTGTGCAATGTGGGTCCCTCCCTTTGGGGGTGTGAGCCGGGCGAGGTGGGGTGGGGGGGGGCC